TAAGGCTGAATGTATGTATATGTATGTATACACCACTTTCTGCTTATCCATTCATCTGCTAATAGATGTATGTATACACCACTGTATGTATACATGCTTTCTGCTTATCCATTCATCTGCTAATGGACATTTGGGTTGTTTACACTCTCAGCTATTATGAATAATGTTGCTGTGAATATTGGTGTACAAGGATCTGTTTGAGTCCATACTTTCAATTCTTTTGGTTATACACCCAGAAAGGGAATCACATGTCAATTCTATGTTTAACTTTCTAAAGAACTATCATACCTTCGTGATTGTTATCTGTAGCCAAAGATTAGAACACTGGTGTGTCCAGCCTGCCTCTGACATCCTAAGAGAGTACTGATTGGTAGTTAGTAAATATTATTGAATGAATTTCTTCATTAATTGCATTGCAGCCCAATGAAGTTGTTATTGTCACAAAGTCGAAAGACTTGTGGGTGGATTAATGTAGTCAGTACCCTTTTGAAAACTCCAACAAAGCGTCTCACGGTCATAAGAAATATCACCTCAACTGCAGTTCCTCCCTTCAGTTGAAATGTGTCCCCAGTAATTTATTAGTACTGATCATTTAAGTATCAGAGTTTCTGAATGATTTGCTTTGTAGATAATAAATTAGACCTGATTCAAGACTCTTCCTATCATAATGCCATATCTATCATGATACCTATTATTATTCCTGTCACAATACTAGTGCTCAGATATTTCTTCTTGAATAGGAAGGAGAGTGTGTTGCACATGTGAATGTCTTCCATCTCATAAACCCGCGGCCTCCAACCTTTTTGGCACCAGGGACCAGTGCTATGAGAATCTAATGCCTGATGATCTGAGGTGGAGCTGAGGCGGTGATGCCAGCGCTGGAGACTGGCTACAAATACAGATGAAGCTTTGCTGGTGCTTAACACCTGCTATGAGGCCTAGTTCCTAACAGAACAGAGAGCTGTACTTGTTCACGGCCTGGGGGTTGAGGACTGCGGTCATAAAACATTGTTAAACTGCCTGCTGATAGCCTCACAGGAGATCCCCTGTACGTGAGGAATTCTCTCTCTCTTGCTACTCCACAGAGTACTTTCTCAGTATTTTCACATGGTCCTTCAGTCCGTGAATGGATAAACTGTAACACATTCAGACAATGGAATATTACTCCTTGGTAAATAGAAATGATCTGTCAAACTATGAAAAGACATAAAGTAACCTTACATGCATATTACTAAGTGAAAGAAGCCCATGAGAAAAGGCTGTATGATTCCAACTATGTGACATTGTGAAAAAGGCAAAAATAGGGAGACAGTAAAAAGACCGGTGGTTGCAAAGAGTTGGGAGAGAGGAGAGAGAAATAGATGGGGCACAGAGAATTTTTAGGGCAGTGAAGATACTCTGTATGATACCACAATAATGGACGCATGTGATTATAAATTTGTCTAAACCCATAATATGTACAACGCTAAGAGTGAATCCTAATGTCAACTATGAACTTAGGGTGAATATGATGTGTCAGTGTAGGTTCATCAGTTGTAACAAATGTACCACTCTGGTGGAGGATGTTGCTAATGCGGGAGAATTGCATATGTGAAGGCAGAAGGTATATGGGAAATCCTGTACCTACCCCTCAATTTTGCTGTGAACCTAAAACTGCCGTTAAAAAAAAAAAAAAACAATAAAAACAAAACTAAACTAAAACCCTCCTTTAACAGTATTTGGCACAGAGCCTGGTACAAGATAGGCATCCAATAAATATTTGTTAATGACTTAATGAATGAATGGATGAATTTAGACAAGTACATGTACTCCTTGCCATGGCCAATGCATCATGAAGGGTGTGAAATACTAGTTCAATGTTTGGTACTATTTCGAAGTTGACATCAAAATGGGAAAATTCCCCTAATCCTTTGGGAGATGCCAGCAAGAAGGGGCTGTAAGAGATATGAGGGTCCTTATGACTGAGAGTGGACCGAGTGGCCTCAACACAGAGGCTCTGTCAGAGGTCACTAAGGGTGCAGTAATGGTGGGAGACAAGAAATGTCATTTAAGTCACAAGACTCCTGTTTCCTTTCCCTCTCTTGCATACAGATCCCAAGACCTGCAGGTTTTCTCCTGTGCTGGGCTGTTGAAAATCTATCCAGATATGAAATAATGTGTCGTTCCGGCATATTTACTTAGAATCCTATCTACAGACAAATTGTGTAAAGGAAAAAAAATTTATGAGTCAGTTTCCAGATTTGTGAGTGTTTTGAAGATTACATCAATGGATTTCCATAGAATGAAACCACAAGCTTCCTGCCAATTGTCTGGATTCACAAAGGTCTATGTTGCTTTCAACGAATGAGGAAGAATTCGTAAGTATATTATCTATAGACATCCATGAACTTTAAAGGGCATTTACTTTTTTATTTTTATTATTTATTATTATTTATGCCTACAGCGCCTGGTCTCCCTAGATGGTCTCCCATCCAAGTACTAACCAGGCCCGACCCTGCTTATCTTCTGAGATCAGATATCAGGTTTGTTCAAGGTGGCATGGCCGTAGACCATGGACCATGCGTGACTCCACTGGGGTGCGAACCCAGGAACTTCTGCGTGTAAAGCAGACGTGCTAACTGCTACACCATGGAACCACGTCCAAGGGTATTTAAAGGCCAGATCTCCACTCTGCTTTTCTCCTATCTTTATATAAACGTAATGGTTGATATATAGAAAAAGAAGCTGAATTACTGTTTATTATGATATATATAAAATCCCTCATTTAATTCTCACAACAATCCTTTGAGGCAGATACTATTACCTTCCACTTTTACAGATGTGGAAATTGAAGCTGAGAGGTTAAATGACTTGCCTGAAGTCACTAATAAGTGGTAGTAGCATCAACATTCAAATTCAGAGCTAACTCTAAATGTCACATTCTTGTTACCATACCATTATACTCCATAAGAGAATTGCAGGAGTGAAGTTAAATAAAAATATTAATGTTTGGTTGGGAGGAGAAAAAGGCCAGTCATAAATTGTAATGTCAGTCCAAGGTAGAGACTGGAGTGTAGCGGGTGGGGTGATTTGCATAGGTTATAAAACTGATAGGTGGAAAATAGGATATGAACTAGCATGAAATGAGGGCGGTGCTTGTCTTGGGGCTTCTTGGGGTGGAGAAGCAGTGAAGTGGGTGGAAGGATGTCGACACTGTCAGTACCCAGGGGGAACTGTACTGTATAAAAATGCACCTGATCAAACTGGGAAGCATACTCGCAGCGTAAATAGAGTAAGTACCTATTTTAACCCACAGGCACATACGAGAAGCTGCATAAGCAACATCTCACACATGGTAGCCTTAGAAAAAGGTCTATTGAATCTCAATTTTAAAAGACTAGAATACTAGACCAATAAAGACCAGCCCAGTAAAGACTAGAAGATTTGATTTCCATAATTGCCACGTGCAGTTAATAGACTCAAAATATTTGTTCAATTAATGAGGATGAAAGAAGGCACTAGAAGTGACAGGGAAAAGGTTTACCAGGACAAAGTGAATATTAAAGAAGCTTTCACATTTGTTTTACATACATCAACTCCTTTAATTCTGGTATCAACTCTCTCTATATTTTCAGTCCCATTTTAAAAGATGAAGCAAAGAATTAAGTAACTTATTCAAAGTCATAAAACCAGAATCAAGCAGATCTTTCTGGATCCAAAGGACATGCACTTAGTTATTACATCACATTCTAATATCTGAACTTACACTGGGTGAAAAAGCATAGCGATTGCTTGTGCTGAGAAATGATGGAGACTGTATAGAGCAACTACCTCACCAACAGGTAGTGAGAATTTGGGTGTCTAAATTATTGCTACAGAAAATCCTGCTGTCCTGTGTGATGAAAAGCTAATGCACTAGAAATTGTTCCAGGAAGCCTTGTGTCTTGGGGCTGGTCACACTTTGTATATTGATTTTTGTCTCAAATGACCCTATAATTTTCAATGGGACAACGACCTTGAATATTGCTAAGATCGAGAAAGCGAGTTTAGGTGCAGTCTCCGTTTTCAACTATTCTGGACCTTTCCAGGGGAGGGCACTCTCTATAAGGTTGCGTGCTTTGATTTACGAAGATTGTGGGTGGCAGTCTGACTCAGAGGAAACCAGGTGATTCCTGATAAAAACAATCATTTCCAAGATCTCATTAGTTTTAAATACGCCACAGTCCAGTTGTTGTTGTTGAAGTCTAGGCACAGATTTCGGGCAATTTCCATTAACTATCTGGCTGTCTAGCACCACTTCTCTTAACAATGCCACACACATCAACCCCTAAAACAAGGAAGCCTCCGCTGAGGTTTCCCAAGGCGGGTGCTGGTGGCGTCGCCAAGCACACGCAAGTCACTGAGTCAGCGGAGCGCAGCCCCGGGAGCTGGCGGCCGGGGCCAGCGATGGAGAGCCGCGTGCTTGCGTCTTTGGCATGAGGCAATCCTCCTACGGTCTCGGGAAGCCCCGACGCGCAGGCTTCCTCGCCGTGGTGGAGCCGCCCGGGCGTAGTTCCTCCACCGCTTCCTCCTCCAGCTGCAACCACCCGACCCTTCCTGCTCCGCCAGGACTCCACCTCCGCGGGTTTGAAGCTCGCGCTCCAGCAGGCGCAGCGGCCGCGGTGAAGGCGACG